TTTTTTTTTTTTTTTTTTTGATAACTGTTTTATGAGTTATGCCGAAGTAAATTAGATTGTTCTCAGCGATACTGAGTGAACTGTCTGATCTTTATCTATCATTAATTTTTATTTTTCCACAATTAGTTTTGTTGTCTCTCAAAGATCAACGATGTATCTACGCAATTCTTTTTTTTTTTCTTCTTTTTAAGGTTTGTCTAAGGTGTCTTCATCTTTGCATCATCGTCATCGTCATCGTCATCGTCATCGCTGTCGTTGTCGCCACCGTCATCGTCGTTGTCGTTGTCGTTGTCGTCGTCGTCATCGTCATCATCATCATCATCGTTGTATCGCCGGGTATTCTTCCTGCTGCTGGTACTGTTATTGCTGTTGCTGTTGCGAATACACCCCCAAAAATTTATCTTCATTCATCCTACCGCTACCCCCAACAACACCGCCATCATCATCCCCACTTCTTTTTTTTTTTTTCCACTCATTATAGCCGTTTAAACATCATCAGAATTCAACAGAAATTATTTGTTTTGAAAAAAATTTTGCTACAAAATTATACTGCTAAACAGACTGCCTAATTTGAATATAACTTTGGCAAATTACTGGCTAATCCTAATTGATTGTCTATCTTCTGATAACCGGTTAATTTCATTGACGCTTACTGATTGCTCAATTTAAAAATTTGATTATTAAAATTTCATTTTTTTTCTTTCTTTCTTTCAACACAATTTATGTAATTTAGACTGTTGGTCTATCAGTTTGATAAATCAAATGTTTATTACTGCTAATCATTGAAAAAAAAAATTTTTTTTATCTTCTAAACTAATAAATAATTTATATTAGTTATTGGCAACAATAAACTATTGTGCTTATCTGCTTACTATTATTGTTTGATTTGTTGATGTTTCTTAGTTGAACACATCTCTAAACAATATTATTCTTTCTGCTAACACTGATTTTCTTATTTGCTGCATTATTCTGACCTATAAGATTAGTCTAATTATTGGTTGTTAAAAAAATAGTTGAAGTAAAAAAAAAAAGAAAAAGAAGAAGATTAACAAATACCATCAAGAAGAAGAAGAAGAAGAAGGAAAAAAAAAAAAAAAAGACTGAACAACTCTTGTGCAGTAATCAAAATATGGCCCTAAAAGCGAGTTAAGGGAAGGGAACGAATTGTTTTGCTGTTGCTGAGTACGTTAAAATAGGGCATAAACACCGAAGAAACAGTGTCTGATCTCACCTTAGTTGATGAACGGCCTGTTGTTTCTATCATTACTATTATTACTGCTACTAATTTTGCCAATTTTGGCTTCTTCTATTCTTCGTTCAACACGTTCAGGTTAGCATTTGTTTTTTTGTAAATTTTTTTTCCCAATTTTTTTTTTTTTGATATATTTCTTGTTTTTCCTTTTTTAGTTTATCTATTTTACTGTGTATTTATTTATTCAGTTATTGAAGACTTATCTATTTCATTCACTGTTTGATTATTAACTATCAATTCTGAAACCAAATAAGTTTACTTAGCACAGAACAATCAACAGTAATATCAGTGGAAAAGAAATTTGTTCATTTTTGATTGTCTTCTTTTCTTCTGGTCACCTTCTAATCTATCCATCTTCATTTGAATGATTATATCTGTTAAAAAATATCGTCGCCTTACAATCGTCATCATCATCAGCAATCATCGTCAACGATAGTAATATTATTTTGGTTCTCATGTATATTCCATTCCTTTATATTGAACAACAGTAGTTAATTCTAAAAGAGAGAAAGAAAAAAAAAAAGAGGAAAAAGCAAAAAACAAAAGACTATAGTAAATTTACAAAGACAAAAGATAAGACAACTTTTCACGTGTTATTAATAGAATAAAGTAAAAAAAAAAAAAAAAAGATTTTTTTTATCTGAAATTTGTTCTTTCTTGTGGAAGGCGAATTGACATCTGAATTCACCAGCATAACAATGATTTTTTTTTTGTTGATAATAAACTGCAATGGTTAATCATCAGCATCAGTTAATGATACCGACGATGACGATGACGATGACGACGACGATGATGATGATGACGGCAACAACAGCAACGTTAACTTTTAACAATGATAACTGTACTGTTTAAAGGCAGTCATGAAATCCATCTGAAACTGTTGTAACAGAGTTTCAGTATTTGGGTAACCATCCTGATATGTATCCAAAACTGTCGTAGTACAGATTGTCATAATTATCATAACACATAACACTATTTAAGTAATCATTTAAATATTACAGTTGTCATCTAAATTTTTTTTTCTTCTCTGCAATCAAAGATCTGTTATAATAACCAACCCGAGAAAAATTGGTTTTTTTTGTGGTTTTTTCCTAAAAACAAACTAAAACTTCAAAGGAAAAAAAGGAAAAAATAAGAAGAAACAGCAGAAAAAAAAAATGATGTTTTTATTCAATTGTTTTTTAAATTCAAAGGAACAGTTAAGATTAGTGATAGCTCTTTCTTTTGACATTTTTTTCTTCTATCCCCCCCCCTCTCCCCCTCTCCATTGATCATCTTCAAATTTTCTTTCGCTTTATTTGTTTAGATAAAAACTGTATGTATTAATCTTTAATTTAACGATATCTCCAGAAAAAAAAAATGTCAGTTAAATTTGCTGTAACAATTGTTTTTTGTTTCTTTTTTTTTTTTTTGCGTAAAAATTGCTGACATTTGATTGAGAATTTATTGAACAATAACTTTTAACAGCTCTATATTTTTCATTTTTTTTTCCTTATTTCCTTTTCTTTTCCTTTTCCTTTTTTTTCCTTTTTTCTTTTCCTTCTCTTTTTCTTTTTTTTCTTTTTCCTTTTTTCCTTATTTTTTTCCTTTTTTCCTTTCCTTATTTCCTTTTTTCCTTATCCTACCGTTTTGGTATTCAAATTATTGCTTTTCTTTGACTACCGCTACTGCTGCTATCACTGTTGAACACTGTTGCAGTTT